CCCGTCTTTAGTGGTACAACTGTGTTCCACTGTCTCCTCCCATTTCGGGGGCACGATGTATGGGGAAGATTTAACACCGTCGACGGTGAGCCACGATGCGATGCCTGAGGATTTCCGCTTCAAAATATCCATCCTTACTTCAAATTTCTTATGGAGGCATCTAAGTCTTTCGCCAGTACACATGATAAATAACATACCTTTCCGGCCTCCGAAGGGATCCAGCATGTAGTGCGGTTTTCTGTGGTGGAACGGATGATTTTAGGTTTGAACTCCGGGAGTTGCTTGTCATCCACAAAAACTCCTACAGAAAAACTTTTCAAGATCATAGTGTAGAGCAAATTTTGTTGAGTTCCGAGGCAAGTGTCCGATCAATAGTTAGCGGAGAATCTGAGTATCGGAGTTATACGTACATAAAGCACGAGCGGAGCTTACGGATGTGCTTGCCTCCTCAGAAGTGAATCAACTTACTTTGTCCGTAAATCATCCCATACAACCAGAGTATACGAGAACATAAGATTCTTGACAAATTTACATAGACAGCGATATGCGATGCTCGTGTCATCGTGATGTTATACCTGGCCAGATCACGTGCAATACACTAGTAAGAATTGAAGCCCACTGGGACTGAGTTGAATCCACTCTCTGCACATGCGACCTCGGGTTTTCTTCGACTTTGCAATAGGCACTGAGCCTGCCGGGCGGTAATTAATGTACTTCTGTTGCAGTGGCTTCAATGTCTTATCACTTCATTGCAGAGTTATTTTCGAACTGTACAATGATACAGCTCCAAAGACAGCTGAAAAGTAAATGAACGTTCATAACCATGCCACCCTGATCTGACCCCTTTCATAGCTTCCGAGCACTATGTACTGGCGAGAAAGGTCTTTCCGCTGTTTCCGAACGGCCTCTATACTATAAGAACAGCATCATCCACCGTTCAATCCGTGATTTCATGATTCAAGGCGGAGGTGCGTTACTCTATCGCTTCATCCTCGGGGCACTATTCATAGTTATCAGACTTCACGAAACGAAACGGCACTGGAGGCGAATCTATTTACAGCAGCGTTTTCCCTGACGAAGACCTGACGCGTCCTTTGGAATCAGAAGGGTTAGTCCACCTTTAAACTCCTCATTCCCTCACTCATGCTCCGCATTTCATTTTACAGCCTCCTTTGTATGGCAAACAAGGGGCCTAACACCAACGGATCACAATTCTTCATTACCCTGCGAGATTGTCCGCATTTAAACGGTGAGCCTCTTCTATTCCAGAAAAACCACATGCGTCTTTAATTTGAGAACCATACAGGAAAGCATGTAGTGTTTGGCCGGGTGATTCGCGGATATGACGAAGTTGTGAAGAAACTTGCTGTGGTTCCTGTAGATGAGAAGGATAGACCTCAGCACCCTATCGTTATTGTTAACTGCGGTGAACTTGAACTGAAGAGGAAGGCGGAGGCGCCACCAGGTACGTCCGTTTTCTCTTCGAAGTTCTGATGGAATGCCTGATATTTTTGCAAGACAAAGAATTAAATGCAGAAATTCCTAGTCGAAGACGCCGTAGCAGTCGTTCTCGTTCACAAAGTTTAGATCATGATCGAACCCCTGAAAAGAAGAAGAAGAAGTCCAAGCGCCGCAAACATGAAAGCAATGGAGATGGAAATACTGACGATGAGGTTCGCAATGATGACGACGAGAAGGTTCCCAAGCAAGAAACCGAAGAGGAGTATGACGCCAGACTTGAGAGGGAGGAGCAGGAACGGTTAGAAGAGGCTAAACGAAGGGAACTGGAACGGATCAAGCGCAAATACGAGTCTACGCCGCCTGCAACTGAAGGAGGTGTGCGATTTAAAGGTCTGTCATCTACAGTTGCACTCTCATGCCAGAATCTAATGCAGAGTGTTCAGGACGAGGACGAATGAAGTTCATCGACCCCGAACTTCACCACCGACGATAGAAGAGCTCATGTTCATATTAATGTCCTATAGTTTGTTACACCGTGCTCATCAAAATCACCCACAATACCCCAAAATCACAATGCATAGAAATTAGAGTAAGTGTGGAGATAAAAAGTCATAAACACAACGCGCTACACGGTTACTTCTGCCACCTGCTCAGTGATCTTGTCCATGGGCGCATCTTCCTTCTCTTCAGCCCTGGCGTTTAGTGCATCCTTCTTTGCGCTAGCAGCACTTGCGAAGCTGATTGATGGTCTGATGTTTGCCGAGATGGCTGGTGTAGCATGAGAAACGCGCGGAGATCCGGGGGTAGGCGGCGTAGCAATAACTTGGGGCGGTGACCGTGTAGCAGTAACAGAACTTCGCTCAGTCGCTTGACGGGAGGAGTTGCGTGACATTGGGTGCGGAACGCGTTCCTTCAAAGCTTCACGGTCTTTCTCGACGCGGGCAGTAATTTCGCGTTCTTTGGTGGTAACGTCGACGGGTCTGCAGAGGATTCAGCAGTTGACGGGTTAAATATAATGCGAGATACTGACCTGGCTGCGCCAAACGGACTGGCTTTAGGTGCAGCCGGGGCACCAGGGTTAGAAGCCATTTTCGGAGAAGAGAGGGGAGAAGGACTGGCAGAGCTGGAAGAAGTACGAGGGAGAAGCTCGAGCTTACGACGACCCATCTGGGGTGTAGGGGGTGTGGAACTGGTTGCTGTTATCCGACTGTTCAACCAACACCCTAACTATGTGCTGGAAGAATGATACTTACGCGATGTTCTCGATCGTCCGCTGCGCCAGTCGCCCTCATCAGCAGGTAAGTCTCCCGCATGCTGCGAATCACGGCTCCCTCTCAAACTCCCGAATCTCGAAGGGGGCTCTTCTGTGGATGGCTTGAACTTGCTCCCAAGAGACCATTTCTCATCGTTGTCTGCAGGCGAGGAACCTTCGGGTGTAGAGAATCCTGAGCCCCTACGCTTAAATGACGGTGCCTCTGGTTCAGGGATCTTTGCAAGAGGCTTAGACGACCTCCACTGGCTGACTTCGTCTGAGACACTAGGAGGAGGTGGCATGCGATCTCCCGGAGGACCATCGAACCGACGTCGGGAGGAATCGCGCGAGTCCTGCACATTAGGTGGGGGGCCCTCACGGCGCCAGTTCCCAGAGAACTTGGAATCGTCTTCAAATTGAGACCCTGAGAAGCCTGACCTTTCCTTTGCTGTCAAATGCTAAGTCTTGAAAGCCTGGAAAGAGTGTCTTCAGAACTCACGAGGCTCAGCAACGCTGGTACGAACTGTGCGTCCAGAGAGGCTCTAGAAGAGAGTCAATTACGGCACTGGGAAGAGAGATGCCACGTCCACCTACACTACCGCTCTTTGCCAGCGCATCTTTTAGTCCATCGAGCTCTGCGAACTCGACATATCCAAAGCCTTTTGGCTTGTCATCACGATCCTTGATGATTTTAATGGATTTGGTCTAACCAAAAGTTACATTACGTCATTAAAATCACGCCGCAAAACACGCACCTGATGAGGACCGAAGAAGCTTTCAATTTCGCTTTCAGTGATGTCAAAGGATAGATTTGCGACGTAGGCGGTGTAAGGCGGTTGGGTGGGCAAGGGGAGATCTTCTCGAGGGGACGCAAACGATCGATCGGCTGAATAAAGCGTGAATCGGTACGAAGCACGAGACTCGGAATGAGAACTTACGTCGCGAGGAAAAGTCATCCCTTCTTCCAAACCGATCACCTGGACGAGACCCATCATCGTCCGTTCTTATCGACGCTGGGGAAACTCCGATAAGCTAAATCCACACGGGGGTAGACAAGTACTTACGAGCACTCGGAAGAGAATCCATCTCATCCGCCCATGATCCCAGCGCTACGCGTCATGCTACAACTGACTTGACATGAAAAATGATGAACGTACTGCTATCGCCGAGAAATTCATTGAGAGACATCTTGGATGCCTTTGATTTTTTAGGCGCTGAATTTCAGTGAGCTTTGAGATATTTGACATTTGGAAAGAACAGACCCATGATTGAAAACCTTGAGCAGTACTTTTCGGTGTATGATCTACTTGAGTCGCTAGCTGGGATAAGTAGCAAAAAGCAAGAAGGAAATAACTTGGCGTGCGGCGACTACAAGAGTTTTCCCACGCTCGTGTCCTACATAGATAACACACGGACCACACCGCAGCAGACGTCGACAACATGATCCTACTCGAGGTGAGCAGCGTTGAGCTCTTTTGAGGACGCGCGTTCTGATGGCTGCTAGGCCCATAATCTCATCATCCAGACGACTCTTGCTGAGAAGATCGCGAAGTGAGATTGCCATTGACTGAGACAGCGTCCAACTAATGTAGATGTCCAGGCCGTCGTCTCTCGATATTCTTTTTGTAGATTTCGATGGCGTGAGGTTTCATCTGTCGACGCCAGAAAAGAAGACCGTGGTTCAGCTATCCATGAACATCCGATGCTGGGATGAGCTGGTTACGTACGGCGCGATGCAGGTATTGCAACGGGAGTATGGCCCGCTCATTAAGCAGCAGACGGAGCCGGAATATAACATCAGTCTTGATATAGATATTGATCAGGTACCAGCCGATGAAGGTACGCGCTGTTCAGCTTATGTGGTTTTGTCTTACTCAATCGGTGTTTACAGAGAGCAGGGAAGCATTCATAAAATCCATCTCGCTATTCAAGCGAAATGCTCTAGCAGCACCGTTCGAGCTCGCGTTTAAGCAGCAGAAGGAGCTGGAGGTATCAGGTGGTGGACAGGGGCAGTTGATGCAGATACACTACCGCGACGAGGAAGCAATCTACATCCAAGCATCCCCAGACCGTGTCACGGTCATATTTTCGACCGTCTTCAGGGAGGAAACTGATCGTATCTTTGGAAAGGTCTTCTTGCAGGTAAGAGTCAGTCAAGGCTTTCAGCCGTCATGCCTGACATTGCAAACTAGGAATTCGTGGACGCACGACGGCAGCCCAGTATCCAAAATGCCCCGCAAGTTCTTTACACGAACCGCGACCCACCGTTGGAAATCCGCGATCTCGCAGGTCTACGGAACACTGATGACATCGGCTATGTCACATTTGTCCTCTTTCCTCGCCACTTTGCGAATGCCGATATTTCGTTCACTACGATATCACACATACAACTATTCCGTGACTACTTGCACTACCACATCAAGTGTTCAAAGGCATATATGCACTCTCGTATGCGTCACAGGGTTGCGGAGTTCCAAAAAGTCTTGAATCGCGCGAAGACGGAGGTGGCCACGACCGAACGCAAGACTGTCACGTATGTCTAGCGCCTTTCATTTATGAATCCAGCTAATATTTATACAGTGGTAGAACTATGACGAACCGTTGAGATGGATGGACAAGGTACTTTACCCCACGTCATGTAACTTTAGTATGTAGTAATTGTAGGAGATTTTCGACTTGTCTTCAGCTCCTCGATAATTGGGGAGATTTTCTCACGCCTATAGTTGACATGAACAGCGAGGAGACGGTCACGACTGATTCGCAACCTGCTGCCCCACTATCGGACTCCATACGGATCACAAGACAAGGCAAAATCAAAAACTGGGTCAAGCACGGCCTGGACTTTTTCCAGGTTGGCTCCGTAGTTTCCTCAATCGTTCATCTAACATGACATGAATTCAGAACAATCCTGACAAGCCACTGACGCTGCAAACTTCTCCAGTCAATGTTAGCCAATCTACCATCCCTCGGTTGATTTCAGTCGTGGAAATCCTAAAGCGCGAATATCTGAAAACCTTGGACATATCCTCCGGACAGCTGACTGGGTTGCATCAGTACAATGAACTACAATGGGAGCAACGCGACGAGATCCCTACTGAAGGGGAAGATCGGGCGAGTACCATAGCAAGAGCTTTGGAAGGTAAAAACCAGTGCGTATTTTTCATGGCGACGCTGGTGCCAGTGCTAACGAGAAGACAGTCCTAAACTCACGCTTGCGCCTTACATGAAAGTCACGCTCTGCACAAAGGCTCTTGCAGAGATGAATGAGAAGAAAGACGTTACGCGAGTGATCTTTATCCAAAGATTACTGCCCAACCTGACAAACGCGCAGATACCAGACACCACAGACACGAAAGCTGTCTAAGGCTGCAAAGGCGAGATTAAAGAAACAAGCAAAGGCGCCAACCGCTCTACCGTAGTTGATTTTCCTATAAATTTGTACCAAAAATCAAGTTTGTGTTGAAATTCCCAGGTTTCGTTCAGTTTTGATTCGTCCAAGTTGAGAACTCTAGTTTACAATTATTCGTTCTCCCGAGCTGCTTCGTTCTGCTAAAGGTCGTGCTCATCGCCAGTAACGGCGACGGGAATCATCAACAAACTAATTTCAGTCTTGGCTTGGTTTTAAAATCTTTCTGGTAATCGCTGGACACGTTGTGCAATTGAACATCGCCAGAACAGCCGAAGGATCTCCGACCTTTTTATAAAGCCCTAACTCAGCTGTGCGCATGCCTCGCCGCACCTCTGCTCGCCTTACATCTTCAGCGACTCCACAAGCCTCTTCAGTTTCTTTCCAGCTTCCTGCTCAAGATGCAGATCCCAGTATCCTTCCCCTCAGACGACACTGGAAATGGGCTGCCTTCAGCCAGTTTTTCTTCACATTTAATACACTCTTTGCCATGAATGACGTGACCTTGATCGTGAGTACTGATTCTCCATGCATATGAAGGGTCATCTTATCTTCTTAAATATCTCAGGACATCGAGAATGACCTCGCTTACTCTACAAACCGTGTTCTGTCACGCATCATGACACGATTGCTTGTCACCTTAACGCAGGACAGAAAAATATCGTGAGTGTCCCTTCGACGTCTGTTGTGGTCCAGTTCCTATCATCTGACCATGTCGATCTATCAGCATTGATAATTGGCAAACTGCATTGCGAAAACAATATATGAGACGCGACCCAGATGCAAATCCCATAGGACCAATTCAGCAAATATACGTTAATGTAGCAGAGTCCTCCCGCGCATCCACTGCTCCCCCACTCCCATCTGAAACGGCAGAAGAATTGGTTCAGGAGGAGGCGAAGAAAAACGTGGCGCATGAAGACGGAGCATCTGTGGACGGTGATGCCGTCCCAGACGATTCAGCGGATGCAGTCGAGGACAAGTCGGAGGAACCCAAGATCGATGAATCAAAGGATGAGGTCGTTGCATCTTCCTCAGAGGCTTTACAGGACTCCGAGGAGCTACAGCAGCAAATTGACTGGCTCGACCTGCCTACAATCAAGAAATTGGAGTCCTTGCACACTCTTATCGAGTGGCAATTCCATAACCCTAATCGTCTACGTACTCAAATGAAAGACGACGACGAGAATGCTCAATGGGTAATACTATACCTGGTCTATTTTCTACTTTGCTGACCAGCCCTTGTAGCGCATAGAGCCAATAGGGTACGACGCCAAGCGTAATGCCTATTGGTTAATAGGTGGTGTGTGCTATTTTCTCATCTCGGTGCTCCAGCCTTGACCAAGGTTCAGCTGACCGTCTATGGCTTCAACGCGAACCTCCGCGTCCAACCCTCAAGCGCAAGCGCCTCGCAAATACAAATACATCGAAATCCACTGGTAGAAAGCCTTCTAATAAACGCCAGCGAGTCGAGCCAGACCCAGAGCCCACGCCTCCGCCCACAACACCCGCTAGGGCATCCCGTCAGCGCAATCAAACGCAGACCCAGAACTCTAGCCCGTCCGGCTCGCGCGGTACCCGCGCTGCCAAATCACGTGCAAATCAGAAGCTTGACGCACAAGCGAAGGATCTCGCCGAATTTCAGCGTCAGATGGCTCGGAGCAAGTCTGCTAATGCTCCTCTGACTCCGCGCCGACCTTCTGGGATCCGGGTGAGTGCACGGCTGCGCGGTACTTTGGCAGAGGATGAGTGGCAGGAGGTGCCGGAAGAATGGCTTTCCGTCAATGCGCGTGATGGAAAGAAGGGAGAGGAGAAGATGCTGCCTAAGGCCAAGACGAGGCTAAAGACTGGGCTTGAGAGCGATGAAGAGTCTGTCAGTGATCTCACGGAGCTTAGCGAGGACGAGAGCACAAATGAGGACGCCGAGGAAGAAGCCGACAAGGAAGAGAGTGAAGAACCCAGCATTAAAGATGAAGAAGCCGAGGCGGAATTCGTACCGGCCCCCAATAAATCAAACGGCAAGATTGATGTTGATGAGGAAGACGAAGATCATCCACCTCTTCCCGAAGGTTTTATTGAATGGGAGACGGTGAGTTATTTATGAGCGATTAGACAAGTCATTTCATATTCCCCCTTCATCGTGAACAGATCTGTATCACTCTCGAAGAATGGGAGAGCTTCCCGGAGCAATTTGAGAAAGCCACACACTATGCTGAGAAGTCCTTGTATAGGGTATTGACGCAGACTATCGTCCCGGAAATAACCGCCGAGCTTAGGGTATGTGGCCCTCCATTTGATCGCACGGAGCATTGATCCGAATGTAATTTAGGAGGTAGAAAAGAAGAAGCGCAAGGAAGAAGCAGTCGTGCATCGCAAGCGTTCATCTCGTATTGCTATCAAGGAAAGTGAGAAGGAGCAAGAATTACTTGCTGCTAGGAAGCGCGCAGAGGAAGATGAGAAGATGGGTCGAGCCAGGAGGGCTGAAGCGCGTAGACAGAAAGAGGAGGCGGACAGGATTAAGAGGGAGACTGCTAGAGAGCAACGCAGGAAGGAGCGAGAAGCTAAGCAGGTTGCAGAGCCTGAAGCTGAGCCCAGGTATGGATATTTTGCACATACTCTATGTTTTCTCAACGCCTCGTTAGCGCCGACGCGCCTATCGATGTCGTGAGTCAAGAGCCTTCCTCGTCTGCCATCCCGCCTGGTCAGATGGGGAAGTTTCCAACATTGTCCGTTCCTATTCCGGTCAATGGAACAGGCGCTTCTAGCAGTGGATCGCGGACACCAGGCGAAGACTGGGAGCTGGATTGCGAGGTTTGCGGTAGTCGTGGGTTTAACAAGGTTTGTTTTTCTTTATCTCATGTTTCCGTATCGTCATATTTTATTGCAATTTTAGGATGATGGTCTTCCCATCATGTGCTGTGGTCGGTGTTTGAAGTGGCAGCATATATTATGCCATGACCGACGAGACGCCGCTGCGGGCCGCCCGAAACGTAACTGGGATGCTGAGGACTTCATCTGCAAAAGGTGTCGCGTTTCAGGATCCAGGGCTTCTTCGTTCAGCAGCGGCAGCCAGTTACCAACGCCAACCGATTTGAAAGCAGCGTATGGTTCAGTTGGAACGCAGCCTTACTACAGCAACCAGTCGGGCTACTCGCATGACCGCTATCCCAATGGGAGCTACTACTCTGGCGGCGCGCCAAGTGGGAGATACAGCTACGATCACCAGTCTGACGTAAGGTCATCTGGCATGCCTTCTCAGTCTTACACTCAAGCTCCCCGTACGTCTGGTGGAGTCACGTTTGCGCACTATCAACCTCAGCAAGGCGGATTTTCGACATCACGTCCATCTTACTCCGTTCAAGAGCCGGTTCCGTTAACTCAGCAGACACGCTATTCGCAGTCTACATCTCCGGTACCGGTCAGTGGAGTCGGTCAATACCCCGGGCCCTTCCAGGTGATTTCAATTTCTTTTATTGCAAAATGATATCTCTGACCTATCAAAAGCCCCACCCGTCCCCCCACATCCAGGTGCAGCCCCCGCCGCAACAACACCGATGGCAAGCCCTCCAGCTATTCTCGGAACGAATACATGAACGCAGTTCTCCCACCTCCTCCATACGTCTCCTCACAACAACAACCATACTATCCCGGAACCCCCACCACAAGCAACTCAGTCCCGTACTCTCAAATGCATAGTACAAACCACCAGTCCATGTCACAGTATTCCGGATACCAACACACCGCTCCTTACCAACAGAGTAGATGAGTTTTGTTACATACGCACGCCCGCACTTCTGTCGTAAGGAACTTTTTTTTGATTTATCAAGATATTCGTAAGTGGACGTACATGTGTAGTGATGGAGGAGATGATGTAGAGTACTTGGATGTTTTGTAATGAATGTGCTTTCGTTGGACTGGCATTAGACGGATCTCTAACCACGAGGTGTTGAGTCTCGACTAGGAGTATGTATACATACATAAGTAAGTCAATATCGCACGTTTCGAAGCCAGCAACGCTGCTCGAGTCTTTCCGGATCCATACACTGACATAAAGAGAGAAAGGGCTGTCAGAGACCAGTGACAGTACTATCTTCGCGCGTTCAGTCCTCTGGTCATCAACCAGGACATCCAGCTCCTACAGGTGTGAGTAGAATTGAGGTGATAAAACTCGATCTGCCTTGGCAGGCTTTCGATGTCCTCCCTTACTTCCGCCGCCCATGCTTGTTGCGTGACCAAAGAACCAGTCCATGCTCTCAGCCGAAGATCTGCAAAGTCGAGAGGTCACTATGACGCCTTTCGATGGATTCGATTGGGGAGAAGGCCTCAGCATCCAGCGCGGTCGGGATAGGTGGCATGTCTGTAAAGCAAGGCGTAATTTAGAACGCAGTCTCTTGATCTATCAGCCGTGGTCACATGTGCGATAAAAGGTGATAAGTTAGATGGGTCACGGGAGATGTCAGTTAGCAAGGCTCTAGCTCGACCGAGGATCAACACCTAAACCAACACCCCTATCATACTAAACTACGATATAAAACATGGCCACAATACTTCGGGTGGTAAAACGGCTCCTATAATCACTCATGTCGGACGATATCCCAGACGTCCATCACTTGTTCCCAACAGAAGACACAACATGTCAGGCATAGACTAGACTATTGCCGTCACCACTCGTTATCTCCCCATTGCAAAGTTGACAACGCTACAGCGATTGCGACACTGCAAATCGCTGCGAGCCCAGGCTCATGAACTCGTCATTGCATACTTCATTACCTCTTACAACGGCAGGGACTTACAATCAGCCCACATCATCGACTGCACGTCAGGGTCGCATGTGGACATCGACGCAACTGCCCCCGGTACCATACTAAGTCATGATCCATTCCCATTTTCATTGGTATCGTAGCTTCTCATTTTCCCGCTGCCTCGAACGTGCCCAAGCCACGTTGGGGAAGTCTGTTGTGGCAGTCGATCGCGTGATCACGCCCGCATGATGCGGCTCCTGGACTAGAGTCGAATCTCTTGCTCGGTAACAATTTGGAACGTACGCGATCCTGAATACAATAGACGTTGCCAGTGCAATGACTGCACCGCAATTCGCCAATCTAGTCAAATCAGTTTACGACTTTGCGCCCCGCTATACCCTCACAAGGCACCACTGCTACTGGTTCGCCTTTCTGGTGATTGTGGTTGTACAGATTGAAACGGATGGAGACGAGACACCCGAGGAGAAGATAGAGGATCCATAAAATGGGGAGTCTTGACACCAGCCCACGACCCTCGCGAGGATGAGGAGGTGGTGAGAAATACCTACCATAAGGTAAGGTTCCACTTGTATCTTGTTTGCCATCCAGCTAATATATTGCTTAGAGAACGGCGGACATTGAAATGGCGGACGTTGATTAAAGAATGCAATGGAACGGTGTTGAGTTGGAAATGGAGGAGTTGGAAGGTCCGCTTGCTTATGATGGCGTCTGACACTTGTCAGGGTCGTTTTCGATAACCTATAACGAGTGGTTAGATGAGAGTCTCGCCATGTTGGTGTGATTCATCTTCGTTGATCATTAGACCGACGTTTGGCCTTGGCTTCCACTCGCTGAGCTTTTGTGAGTTTAGAGTTAGAAAATCGTCCAACGACCCACACCGTAAGCTGGCGTTCAATGTCAGAATGAATGCATTTTAGATGCGTTTTTGTCATGTCCATGGCACCGTGATCCTCCATGGCACCGGTGGTGTTGACCTAGTAACGTGATGCATGAAATTCCGGCAGCGAAAAGCAGGGATACGCGACTTACCTGCAAGGCAGCAGCGCGTCTGACATGATGGAAGGAGCAGTGGAAGGAAATACGCTCGATTCGAATCAACAGAATTCAAATGCTACAGATTAGGTTATGTACG